AGCCCATTTACATTTATTGTGATTATAAATGTATTTGAATTTATTTCTGCCACATAATTTTGAGCAATTTTTAAAAACATTTCTATTATTTTTCTCTTTTTTCTAGATTCCTTTGGATAAGTACAATTTTATTTATTTCACCTCTTTTCCCTTATCCCTACCAGTTGCTGACTGGAATGAATGCATTTTATTTCTTTTCTTTTAGTAGTTACCCTTAACCTTTAAACATGCATACTTGACTTATCAAATTCTAAGGTTAATTAATATCTCTAAGGCAGAGTTAAGGCTTTTGGGTGATTCCATTCAAAGACACAGGATCAAAGACTTAGGGCACATTTGAGACCAAAGGTGAGATCTGTTTTACATATGCTGGGTTTGAGGACACATACCCAATTATCACCTTAACGGATGCCTACACATCTACCTTCAGTGGCTTAATATACTTTGCAAAATATCCTCCTTCATGGGTATTCTGCATTGCTTAAGCAGTGACAGGAGTTAAAAACAAAATTAAAAAAATAAACATCACTGTTTGCCTTCCTTTGATTCTTAGAACCACGTCTTCCCTTCTGACCTAGTCACCAGGGCCAAACTGAACACTAACGTGTCCTAGAAACAGCAAGCTTCACAAACATTCCTTCGATAACTGTCGATAAGCTGAGAACTGAGTCTGAAACAGTGACCTGGATTCTCTCTTACATAATGATGGCTTACCTTTGCCTCCTCCATCTTCTCTACTATGTTTGTGGCTTAAATGACGAGGGAGGAGGGGCTTAGCTAATTTCTGCCACATATGAGAGGGAAGGAAAAACTCTATTTCCATACCAACTGAAAAAATTATTTTAAATTAAGCATTCAATCGCAGCTGACCTAGAGCACATCAGGATTCAACTAGTTCAACAAAACCACTTACTTGTATCTCCTAGAGGTCAGGTCACAGTTGTAAACTTTCCAAGTAGTGTTATGAATACTGTGCCCAGTTAACCCTTCAGACAACTCTGAGGTAGGCAGGGTGGGGGTGATTAGAGGAAACATCTCGGAAGGAACAAATGACTTGCCCAGGCTCCCAGGGCCAATCTGTGTGCAGCTGGGGCTGTACAGTGTTGCTCACTCTCCCACACTGAAAAGTGACTCTTGTATTCCTGCGTGAGCGCGTACACTTAACATCCTGTCCATGTGTCAGAGCTCAGGATCTCTTCCAGAGGCTACAGCTAACAAAATATATCAGGCTTAGCATGGACGTTCCAATAGGCTTGGTGTTCCCCTCACTTTAGTGTCACTGGTAAGTCCAGAAAAATCTCCCCAGGGCCCCAAATCCCAGAGGGCTGGGTTTAGCACACCACGATGACATGGAGTCCATTGGGCTTCGTCTTTTCCATCTCCCAACACACACACAGATAACCCCTTCCCCTGACAGCCAACAAAAAGATAATACTAACCACAAGCAGGGCTTATACATTATGCTCAATGCCTGATTTCACACAGTTAATGGATTCATTTGTTAGAGCAATTTGTGAAAATCCCCAAGGGCCTGGTAAGGCTGCTGCCTAATGGTTTTATCGCGTCATATACTTCCTTCATTCCTATCGTCTAACAATACTAGATTGGCGAGGAACTCTGGACCAACCACTGCTAAAAATATAGGTAAAGTGTAAATAAAGCGAAACGGGGGGAGGGGAATTTTGTGCCTCTGCAGTTCCCTTCACCAACAAAAAGAGATTTCATTTTTTTGTATGTTTTGGCCGATTCATAATCCCACTGATACAGTCTATCGAATTCACATTGACACAAGGCTTATTTTCAGGCATCAGCAAGTCACCTTCAGGTTTCAGGTATGGATCTGAACTTAAGGGCGACGGGAGAAATCTGAAGTCAGTGCAGCCACACCATCACTGTCCCTCTTACTGGGGGGAGCAGGCAGAGATCAGAGGCATGGGCTTGTATAACCCCAGGCTGCAATGCAATCAAGGGGGAGGGGATGCCCGCCGGCCTCTGACAGAAGGCCTTTAGCTTCATGGTTTACACACACATGAATGTGAGCATCAGTATAATTCTTGGCCAGAACTGATGCCTCCAACCTCGGCCAGTCTTTTGGTGCATCTGTTCCCTGCATCCCAGTGGGATGGAAGAAAGAATGTAAATGGGTAGAGCCAAATCCATACGCAACACGTAGAAACCAACTTAATGGAGACTCCCCACGGGTGCTGGATCTAGAAGGGAGGCTGTCCTCACCACGCAATTGCTGCACAACCAGGGCTAATGGGGACCTCCATTTGAGAAAATCCAGGGACGGCAAGAAAGAAAATCCTGCCCATCTAAGATGGACAACACAAATGGCTCTTTGTACAGTGAAACGGCCACCACCACTATATGATTATTTTCTCCTATACCAAATTAAGTACTCAGTAAGTGCTTGAAAACAAAACAAAAAAAACTGATGGAACAAAAAATATGGATTATCTCTTAGCTGTAATTTAAGGAAGAAGGATCATCGTTGTATGCTAATGAGAGGTGATGGGTGAAGATGCCTATGTTTGGAAGCACTAAACTGCTTTACATTGAGGGGATCCAGAATGGAGCGGAGGAGGAAGCGGAGGGACAGGAAGATTGAAAGGCTGGGACGGAAAAGGACTGAGTACAGAGGCAATGAGAGAGAGTGAGAGAGACAGGTGGGCACAGAGGCTCAGAGGCTTGTGGATAAAGAGAGGGTTTTGGAAGAGAGAGTGAGGGTTTTGGAAGGAAATGCAAAGTGCTGTGCAAGGTGAACTCTGCAGTCTGCCCTATGAAACTGATGTATATGAAATTAATTTTCCATCTGTTATTGGACTATGTGAAAAGGGCCGGACAGAGTTTCACCATATGTGAAGGGGGTATTTGGAGTGGTCTGACTTTAAAGATAGTTTATATGGTGTATGCAAAACTCTCTCTGGGGGTCCTTGGAGGGACTTTAAACCACAGCCCTTCTGGCTGTAGACTGGGAGGGATGTACTAGACACATTAAAATGCCTAGAGCAGAGGAAACACATGGAGGCTCCCAACATGAACCCTAATTCCAAAGTCACCGGGACAAATCACCCAAATTGCTCCCTTGATTTCTGATGGAATTACCTTCTATGCAAGCAGCTCCGTGAGGCCGCTCCAAGGATGTGCGGATGGGAGTGTGAGAAATGCAGGAGGCTGGCTGGCCTTCCGTCAAGTTCACAGGGCTCCTAACACCTGGTGACTTGGGTTCTCTGGGAAATGAAGAGATGCATGGGGGCAAAAGCAGAGGCTGTGGGTTGTGACAGCCAATACCTGGGTCACACATGAGTAACTTAATGAATGATCAGGTCGTGGGGGCAGATGTATGTGCCAGGCAATGGGTAAAATCCCCACTTCTAATAACACTACTGCGGTACCAGTAAAGTCACTTCACCTTGTCATGGCGATTAAAGGCAAGTTCGGGCTTTCTTTCAACAGACCCCTTTTGAGGCTCACTTACTAGCTGTTGACCTCGGACAGGCCACTGAGCAGCTGTAAGCTTTGGTTTCACTTTATAAAAACATGAGGATAACATTAGCATCTGCCTCAAAGAATTATGGTCAGGAGGACAGGAGTTAACTTGCAGCCCACAATAGGTTAATGATGACGATGATCACTATTACAATAAGGCCACTTGATAATCAACGTGTACAATTAGCACCTACTCGCTCTTGTAAGATGAAGTTCTCATGTTGGTTTCCCAGTCTCCTCTTCGCCCCTTTCTTGTACAGTCCTTGTAGTCAGCACCAATTCATTCTCCTAAACGGTGGGGTAAGTAGATATTTTAAAAAATACTGAAGTTTATTGGCTTTGCTTTTTAGTCCTCAGCGGTGTCACGGATGCATTTTCACACTAAAAATATAAATTTGTATATAGTGGGTATATACAACATTAGAGGATTATAATAGGCAGTATGGTGGTTTCTGTGTCAACAGTAAGTTATGTCTCATTAGAAAATAATTAGGAGGAAGATGGCCTTAGTCCTAGGAACAGACTACCGTCTTCCCTGTGTGATCTGACGATATACAGGAAGCTGTGGACCCAGACAATTGCTAGCAGAACCTTCAAAATGCTCCGCCTCATAAACTGTCCTTTGGCAGTGACTGCCCTCTAAAAACCGCACTAATGGGGGCTTCCCTGGTGGCGCAGTGGTTGAGGGTTCTCCTGCCGATGCAGGGGACGCGGGTTCGTGCCCCGGTCTGGGAGGATCCCACATGCCACGGAGCGGCTGGGCCCGTGAGCCATGGCCGCTGAGCCTGCGCGTCCAGAGCCTGTGCTCCGCAATGGGAGAGGCCACAGCAGTGAGAGGCCCGCGTACCGCAAAAAAAAAACAAAAAACCACAACACCTCCACGTGCCTTCTTCTGCAGCTCTGGTTCCGTTCCCACCAGTAAACCCAGAACTGTCCTTTACAAATTAACTGTTGGCTGCCTCGGAAATGCCCCTCACCGCCACCTACCCCGCCCCCGCCTTCCCCATGGGTCTCCCATGCCCAAGCTCCCGGGGCTATCTCCATACAAGGGCCTCAGCACCTGGCCAAAACAGTGGGAGGGTGGAGGGCACAACCTCAGTGCTGGCCTCTCGGCATTTGTGGGTTTCAGCCAGACCCTGAGTGTTATTTTAGTGCAACTTCGGCGTTTAATTTGAGGATGTGTGTGGATCAGAAGGAGGAACCAAAACATTATTTTTTTTCCTCTCCGCCAAATGATCAAATTTGATGTTCTAAAAAACACACAGCCTGGTCCAGAGCTGTGTCCAATTGGGAAGTGCGACATGCCTGAAAATCCCTCCCCTACCAGGGACCATCCTTCCTTAACCACTGGCCACAGCACAGGCCTGTTTACTGTGGACAGCACCTGGGCAGTCTGTGGTTACCACCCGCCCAGGAGCCTGTGCCCTGAGGCTCTCCTTCCCTTCTTGAAAGTGCACGCTGCACCTTCGCTGGAAGAACATTCTACAGGGTTGTTTAATTTCTTACAGCCTTGAAAGCGCCATAACCAGGAGCTGCTCAGCCATGGCTGAAGGGGAAATCACAACCTTCACAGCCCTGACCGAGAAGTTTAATCTGCCTCCAGGGAATTACAAGAAGCCCAAACTCCTCTACTGTAGCAACGGGGGCCACTTCCTGAGGATCCTTCCAGATGGCACAGTGGATGGGACAAGGGACAGGAGTGACCAGCACAGTAAGCACCCATCTCACCTTTCTGGTGCCTTCCTTAGTCAAGGACGGAAGAAGGGAGGATAGCTAAAGAAGGGCTGTACCCTCTTCCCCAAGGCTCTATTCAGGCATGACACCCTCAGAGGCAGGGGGAACAAGGTGTAAAGGGTCTAGGTGTGGAAAAGGGGCAGTTGTGAAGGGTACAGCCTGCCTAAAGAGGTCCTATTTCAAGAGTTTAAGAGGACTCTCTGTTGACCTAACACAACTGCTGTGAGATCAGACTGGCTACCAATGTTCAGTTGTTCCAGATTTCTGTAACTAGCGAGAGGTCTGGTCCCCAGGGCCCTGCTCGCTCCATGACAGGAAAGGCCACATGGGGCAGGGTTGGCAAACCCCCCCCCAAAGACATGGGCTCAATTTCAAGTTAACTGACTCTCCAGGTTATCTTCCTACTGGGCTTGATTTGTGAAATCCTAGTTCATAATCGTAGTCTTACACATCATAAATTGTGCTTGCTCTCACACCTGCATATCGTGCAGATGTGTTTGGGGTAACCGGGAGGAGTGAAGTCATTCTCCAGACCTTATAGAAACCAAAGGGCAAGAGCGATTCCAGCCAAAGGCTGACTATCTCTTCCGGGCTTTCCTGCCAGCCCAGCTCCCAGATGGTGTTGATAAATGGAGGTATGACCTTGGAGAAAAGAATCTCCTCGACTATCTAAGAAACAAAATCTCTTCGCTGTGCTTTAGCACTTCCGGCGGCGGTGGTGTGTATGTTTGATGTTAGGTGTCTGGGTCCTACTGTGATGTGCTCAGGGATTCCCTGAGCACCACCAAGGCATTAGATGTTGGAGAGGAGCCATAAGTCAGATCTGGTCCCTGATAGGAGGGTCTGTAGGGTCAGACGTGTCACGCACCAAGAGAAGGAACGTGTGGATGAAATCAGGAGACACAGAATAGCACGGGTGGAAATCAAAGTTGCTGCGGGATGGCTTTAAAATGAAATGCAGAACACTGGCTTTGATGTGATGGTTTATATATCAGGTAGTCTTTCTTATTCACAGGATATGCACCAAAGGTTGCAGGCACTAAGCACTAACGGTCACCCCAGTGGCGCTCACTCTCCATCCTCAGATGCACAGGTGGTGGGGATGGAAGCCAGCGCTTACCAAACCAGGCGGCACTGTCCTGTCCTTCCCGCCCACCAAGCAGACCCTTGAGATGAGAAGCGGGAAGACTGAGGTTGGAGCTGGACTCTGCAGGGTTAGATTTTTTTAGCTTGGTTTAGATGGCTTGTCTTCAGGTGGGCCTGTTGAATGCCTTATACCCGATGCAAAACAGGTACCAGAGTGAAGCAAAAAAAAAAAGACTGCTGAGTAGGTCAAACACCTACAGAAGACGCAATGTTTACTGCAAATAAATGGACTCAGACTGCAGTCTGTTGTGTTGTGTCAGACAAGCTACACAATTCATGTGATCTGCCTCGTACAACACAAAGGGAACAAGTTGTAATTTCTCAAAGGTTTTAAACATTTCTAATAAGTCTTAGCTTTCCGAACCAACGGGGATGCTCTCTGGTCCTTAGAGTCCCAGGAGAAAAAACAACCTTGGTGATGTGTTCCACGGCATTAAGCTGTCTCTTCTGGGAAACCTTAAATTCTGAGGTAACAAGAAGCTACAATTACAATTCCAAGTACTGGAACTTCTGTACAAATGGTAGATGACTTCACTGTTAACATTACAGACTGCACTCTGGGTATGGAACTTTGGGACAACTTCTGCATAGTGCTGCGAATTCAGCTGCCTGACCTCAGATGTCAGGAGCCCTGGAGGGCAGCACACAGTAGCGTAGGAGTGTGTGTGAGGAGGTCTGCACACAAGTGATGCTGGATTAATTACTTTCCAAGTGAACTTGGGCTAGTTACTTAACCGTTCTGGCCTCACTTTTCTCACGTGTAAAATAAGAATGATATTACTTGCCTCACAGGCTCCTTGGGAGGGTTCCGTGAGATAACGCAGTGAAAGTTCTTGACACAGTCCCCTGACCCAGAGCCACAACTCAGCACATGTGGCTATTCTTGCCACCACTGTCACCACCATCACCACCACCAAGACTTCCATGTATTCAACGCGGCACATGGAGATACAGTACAACACTTAAGGACCTTGCCTAATCTCTTCTCTTCAATAACACGGCCCTCCAGGAAGGCCAAGGGCCTAGATTCAGGTTTTGATTCAAGGCCTCTCTGGCAACATTCAGAGTCGTTGCGTTGGCCCATTTACTTAGTGTAGAACTAAGAACAAGGGCCAAGGAGGACAGAAATCAAAGTCGGGTGAGTGAGCAGAAGTACATGCCCGTACCTGTCAATGCCAGGAGAACTGGATAATCCACATAGCCCCTGCAGAGTCAGGGACCCTAGATTTAGAGACAGAAACCTTGAGTTCATCTTCCTATGCTTCCACTTTCTAACTGAAGCAGCACTAGACAATTACCATTCTCTCCATTTTGCATAAAGTGCTCTGCCAAAGCAGCTTCCCATCCCCCATCCCCAAGACCCTTCCAATCATTCTCTCTTGTCTAGCAATGTAAAAGTCTCCAGTGTTCCCAGCTATCTCATCTTGGGGGAAAATACTGAGGCTCAGTTTCCTCACCTGTGCAACGGGAAGAGCAGCACTGCCTTGTGTACCTGACAAAGCTGAAAACTCTTATATGAGATCCTGCAGCCGAGAGGACTCCCTTCCTACCATGGATGCGCCCTGTAAATGTGGTTCTGTTGCCCTCTTCTGCCCAGTGATGGTACTGCCACAAGCCTTCTGAATTTCAAGTTTCTTCAGAAACAGAATCAACCTGGGCAGGCATGGAGTGGATGATCCCTGAGTGGTTGGCACAGCCTGGCGATGTCTATTCTTTGATCATTAGTTTGAGCATGACTGGAGGCCATGGTGACAAGTAGAGAGCCACACTCTAAGACTTCCTTCAGGAAGAATATTTCTAAAAGCCAATCAAATATTTAGGTAAATCTACATAAATTATGCAAGGTAGAACTGTACGCCTTCCAGCCCTACAAGGCAAAAACACAAAAAACCTACTTTCACAGGTTTTCCTTTTTTTAATTTTTTTAAACATCTTTATTGGTGTATAACTGCTTTACAATGGTGTGTTAGTTTCTGCTTTATAACAAGGTGAATCAGCTATACATATACATACATCCCACATCTCCTCCCACCCTCCCTATCCCACCCCTCTAGGTGGTCACAAAGCACCGAGCTGATCTCCCTGTGCCATGCGGCTGCTTCCCACTAGCTACATATTTTACATTTGGTAGTGTGTGTATGTCCATGCCACTCTCTCACTTTGTCCCAGCTTCCCCCTCCCCGTGTCCTCAAGCCCACTCTCTATGTCTGCGTCTTTATTCCTGTCCTGCCCCTAGGTTTTCAGAATCACTTTTTTTTTTAGATTCCATATATATGTGTTAGCATACAGTATTTGTTTTTCTCTTCCTGACTTACTTCACTCTGTATGACAGACTCTAGGTCCATTCACCTCACTACAAATAACTCAGTTTCATTTCTTTTTAGGGCTGAGTAATATTCCATTGTATATATGTGCCACATCTTCTTTATCCATTCATGTGTCGATGGACACTTAGGTTGCTTCCATGTCGTGGCTATTGTAAATAGAGCTGTAATGAACATTGTGGTACATGACTCTTTTTGAACTATGGTTTTCTTAGGGTATATGCCCAGTAGTGGGATTGCTGGGTCATATGGTAGTTCTATTTGTAGTTTTTTAAGGAACCTCCATACTGTTCTCCATAGTGGCTGTATCAATTTACATTCCCACCAACAGTGCAAGAGGGTTCCCTTTTCTCCACACCCTCTCCAGCATTTATTGTTTGTAGATGTTTTGATGATGGCCATTCTGACCGGTGTGAGGTGATACCTCATTGTAGTTTTGATTTGTATTTCTTTAATGATTAGTGATGTTGAGCATCCTTTCATGTGTTCGTTGGCAATCTGTATATCTTCTTTGGAGAAATGTCTATTTAGGTCTTCTGCCCATTTTTGGATTGGGTTGTTTGTTTTTTTGATATTGAGCTGCATGAGCTGCTTGTATATTTTGGAGATTAATCCTTTGTCAGTTGCTTCATTTGCAAATATTTTCTCCCATTCTGAGGGTTGTCTTTTTCATCTTGCTTATGGTTTCCTTTGCTGTGCAAAAGCTTTTAAGTTTCATTAGGTCCCATTTGTTTATTTTTGTTTTTATTTCCATTTCTCTAGGAGGTGGGTCAGAAAGGATCTTGCTGTGATTTATGTCATAGAGAGTTCTTCCTATGTTTTCCTCTAAGAGTTTGATAGTGTCTGGCCTTATATTTAGGTCTTTAATCCATTTTGAGTTTATTTTTGTGTATGGTGTTAGGGAGTACTCTAATTTCCCTCTTTTCCATGTAGCTGTCCAGTTTTCCCAGTACCACTTACTGAAGAGGCTGTCTTTTCTCCATTTGTACACTTTTGCCTTCTTTATCAAAGATAAGGTGACCATATGTGCATGGGTTTATCTCTGGGCTTTCTATCTTGTTCCATTGATCTATATTTCTGTTTTTGTGCCAGTACCATACTGTCTTGATTACTGTAGGTTTGTAGTATAGTTTGAAGTCCGGGAGCCTGACTCCTTCAGCTCCGTTTTTCTTTCCCAAGATTGCTTTGGCTATTCGCGATCTTTTGTGTTTCCATACAGATTGTGCAATTTTTTGTTTTAGTTCTGTGAAAAATGCCACTGGTAGTTTGATAGGGAATGCAGTGAATCTGTGGATTGCTTTGGGTAGTATAGTCATTTTCACAATGTTGATTCTTCCAATTCAAGAACATGGTATATCTCTCCATCTGTCTGTATCATCTTTAATTTCTTTCATCAGTGTCCTATAGTTTTCTGCATACAGGTCTTTGGTCTCCTTACGTAGGTCTACTCCTAGGTATTTCACTCTTTTTGTTGCAAGGGTAAATGGGAGTGTTTCCTTAATTTCTC